CCATCTAAAACTCAATTTTCAAGTAAAAATTTGCTCAAATTGGATTCATTTGGTAGATAGTAGATGAAGCAGAAATTGAGAAAATGCTAAAATGAGATAGAAACTCAATTTGATCCTTAAGAGATTTGAGATACTTTTACTAAAATTTAGCTTATAAAGTATATCTTGAGAAAAAATCCGACATAAAAATTCTCAAAGTCTTATATTTATCCGTAATTCATTAGAAAAAACTGTTATCATTTGATATATTTGGTACTTTATATGAAAGATCAAATGTTTTGAAGATAATTTTTGAAAAGCAAACCCAATTCGACATCTTTTGGAAGAAGATACATAAAGCATAAATCGAAAACTTGCTTTGAAGATCTACTTTTCCTTGCTACACAATACTACATAGAATACACATCACTATATACAATACATTACTACATTTTTACTACATAGAGTTTTTTTCTAAATAAAAATTGGAAAATTACACAATTGTTCCAGTTTGCACCTTGCTTTGCTTTGCTAAATCAATTTTTTTAGACTCGCTCTTTCAGAAGTTTTTATATTGTAGATGTTAGGAACTAGGTTCTCTTGCGTATTTCCGGAGATTTTCAGATTATAACTAATAGAGCTGCTCCTAATTTGTTCTTAGATCGTAAAAATACACCTTCATATTCTCAATGTTTGCATATATTTTTGAATGCTTTAACTAGCACCAATTCTTTCTCACTTGGATATTTTTGAGAAAATTTCCGTCATAAATTAAGAAAAAAAGCGAGTTAATAACTATTTTGCAAGAAAAGTGATAGTTAATGATTCCAAAATGTGTATTTTTGCTTAAATAGTTTACAATAGCAACTGAACAGGGGAACCTCGAGGAAGATATTAACATTTTTTATTGTAAAAATCATACGGTATCAGTTCTAATTTCATCTCTGCTAGCAAATTGTTCGTTCAATTGATACTATTTCCCTCCTAAATTCTCCAGTTTTGACTAAATTTTCTAGTAAAGTGTGTTCAATAGTGAAAACATGTTTTAAACAGAAAGCAAGAATAACTTTAAAACATGGAAAAACTCTACGGAAAATCTTGAAAGTTATGTTGCAGAAGCAACAGAGAGATAATCATCAGTTATGAAGAAGTTTTTGTTGAATTTGAGCCAATATCGAATAAATTTTTAAGAAACATTTATCCCATTTTAAACAAATTTAGCAATAAACTGTTCATTTTTTTTATCAATAATCAGACATTTCTAATTTTTAACATGAAAAATTTCTCACAAGTTGTAATTTTTGTACAAATTTGGGTAATTCAATGAGAAAAAAATGGAGTTTGATTTAAAAATTTCATAGGATATTACCCTTAATGTTCATTTGAATTTAGATTCCTAAAATAATCCCTGAACTGGACAAAAAAAACAGTTAAAAACCAAATTAAAAGGTTCGAAATGGAAAATTTCATGTAAATTTGATTAATTTTATTTTACCTTCTCGAATATTACGACTAATTTCACTGTTTTCCGGAAGTTTCAATAATGATTCTGCTACTATGAACCTTCTTTTCACTGTTTAGAGCATTGTATAACCAAATATTTAGCTCAAATTAAGGTAAACTTCATCGTATTTCAATATTTTGAGAAAAAATTGTTGAAAAAGTTTGTATCATTGTCTCAACATAATGCCAATTAACATACAGTCTTAGCTTATTTTTAAAATCAATACGTAAAAGTATGTTTATAATTAGATCAAAAGCAACAATACATTAGCCAAAATTATGAGATTTCTGCAATTTTTTCCAAATACTTGAAATTTTTGCAATTTTTTCTCAAAAAAATTTGAATTTTTTCGAAGTTTTAGTAGGTTTCAGCATTGTTTCAATTAGATAGAAAGTAAGATTATTTAATAATTTAGGTCAAATAATAGCTAACCTTATCGTGTTTTGAAGTTTTTTTTGAAAATTTTTTCATAAAAATTCCAAGTTTTTGCACAAAATCTCTTACCACTGACTTACCATGCACCAAAAAAACTAAATACATAACCTTTATTCTACACGTAATTAACAATTAACTGTACCCAATTAGGTAACGCGCGCCGAGATTTTTGCGAAAAAATTAGACAAAAACCAAAAAAATTTCGTTTTTCTTTATCTTACCATCACACTGAAACCTTACCATCGGTATTCCCTATCTTAATACATTGTACACTCTATACCCAATCTTAATACATAGCATGGCGGACCGGAAATCTATAACGTATCTTAATACATGGGGTCCGCCATGCACCCCCCCCCCCCCCCCCCCCCCCACTTCAGCTCCAACATCTACTACTTACATCGTTGGATGAATGGATAAATGACAAATTGGATCAAGGGCTATATCGATAGGTTGACTGGATGGCCAAATGTCTTGATCGATGAATGGCTAGATGACTTGATGGCTTCACTGATGTATGATTGGCTGGTTGAATGGCTAGATAGATGAATGGGTGGTTGAACGGATCAGTCAATGCCTAGATGGACAGTGGCTCGATGAATACCCGGTTGGGAGGAGGCATGGGTACATGGATATATGAGAGACGGGTGTAGAGATCAAGGGATGCTTGTATAGATGAACGAGTGAATGGATAAATGGCTGGATGGTTGAAATAATGGATGACTTAAGTGCTGACTGAACTGATGGATGACTGCTCAGTTGTCTGGCTGGAGGGATAACTGGTTAGATCGATGATTGGTTGGTTGGATGGCTTAATGAATGGAAGGATAACTTGTTAAAGGAAGGGATAAATGAAAGGGTGAGTGAATGTATGAATAGAGAGATGAATGGAAGGCTGAATGGATGGGTGGCTAGATGGATGGAGGACTGGTTGGTTGATGGATGGCGCGATTTATAGCTGTTTGGATGACAGGATAGATGAATGGCTCGTTCGTTGAGTGGATGGCCAACATAAGATCACCGCCATATGATCGGGTCGAGATTTTCAAAATTTGAGAACTAGTTTTTACATCAAAATTTATTTAAAAAACATTTAACAAAAAGCCAAGTCTCGGGAACTAGAAAAGTTTGAGCCATCATACTTGTGTGGGCCATTTTTTCAAATGCTGAAAAAAACCTTGATATCAACCAACAAAGGGTGGATAATTTCAAATTTCGAAAAGTGTTTTTTTTAATGTAAGCTTTATGAAGTCTTCAAACTTCCTAAAAACACGAAATTCGAAATTTGAAAGTGGTTTAGAAGTCATATTTGAAAGCCTGATATAAACGATATAAACCAACGTTAGATTACCTCGACAACACCCCACTATGCAAATTAGAATTTCAAAATTGAATTTTTTGTAAATCTAACTTGAAAATTTTTCATGTTTCGAATTCAAGCATGTCTCGGAAACTAAGGTTTTGAGCGGTCATGTTTGGAGCCAGACTTGAAACTCTTTTTTGAAGTTTTTAATATCCATTTTTTTGAAAAAATCATAAAATAATGTCGTTTCTCGAAAACCTTAAAAATTTAGGTTTTCATATTTAGAGGCCAATTTTACTACTACTGGGACAATCCTGACAGCATCTCCCCAAAGGATTGCTAAACTCAAACTCATTGAAATTAACGCCGAAACGAAAAACGCCCGTTAAATAATGTATGATGGATGCATCCAACCTGAACACTCCACTGCTCTGGCCTCCTCCCATCCTATGCTTGCATCATAGTTACAGCCTTACATAAGGGCATTCAGTGGACCTAGCTTGCATAGTCTGGAAAAAAGAAAAACATTTCTATGCATTGCAATGTATAAACATGCAAAAATTAATTTGCTTACACATAGTGAGTTTTATTTATTACACTGGTATGAAACGAATAGCCTCCTTTGATGAGTTCAAAAATGCATCAACTGCGTTAACTAATCAAAATTCAAATCTCAACGCATATGCTATTAAATAGCCAATTAAACAAGCCACCAAAAGTAACAACAATAATTGCGACTAGGGTTGAAAGAAGTAGCCTCACAGATCGCAGTTTAAACAAGAGGTTTGAGACAACTTGTTGAACTTCAGGAAGCAGAAAATAAGATTTTTTCGTTTTCTGATTTTCAAATGAAAAAAAGACCATAGATATCTTCGAATTAAAATTTTTTTTCTGTTTCACACTTGTTGGATAAAGCTAAAGCATGTTGAAAAACGTTTTTTGCTAGAAATTATTAAAACTAAAATCGGATTTAATACAAAATCTAGCTTTTTCCGTTGAAATAACTGATTCGATTTCCCAGCGTGGCAATTGAATTTCAAGAATCACATGTCAAACAAAAATAAACGTGAGCAATTTTTTGCCTTTTCCGGAAAAGACAGAACGGCCTATATGAGTGAAAACTCAATTATTGAAAAACATCAACATTCGCAAAATTCAGAAGATATGGACGCCTAAGGCATCTTAAAACACAGAAGCAAGCAGAGTTTTGCACCACGTGCGATGCAAAAATGAGTGAATATGATTTTGTAGATGTATCAAAAACTTACAAAAACTCGTCTTTTGTCAAACAAAACATGTGTAAAGACCCAAAAAACATTGAATTTAAAGCACCTGCAGCGTTAAATTTTTTACGAAAGATATTCAAAGGAAAATTGAACAAAGCTGAACCTTCAAAAAGTCCGTTCTGTGATAAATCCACGTTTTGTCTCCAGCAGTGATTTTTCCTATGCGTCAAATGCTCAGCATTATCCGCTGAATTTGAATTACTTATTAAGCAATTGAAAATTAAACCCTTGCGAATTCTTTCAAGGAACAGGTCAAGTACCCGTTTGTAACGCTCTTGCTTGCTTATCGCGAAGGTTAAAAAGCATGAGTTCAATCAACAAGAAAAATATCGTGAAATAGTGCCAGCCACAGGGGACCCTTTGGGAAAACTTTAGGAATTAGAACTGACAGGGGTGGTGCCTCTCCCTTCAGGTACGTTACTCATCTTCCGCATCTTGGCGCGTTTCACTCATGAGCCTTACTGAAATGTTATCAAATAAACAAAACCGCAGTTTAGGTCAGTTAATTAAGAAATGAGTTTTTAAAAATACATAAAAGAAATATAAAATCTTCGTTATTTATTCTTTACATAGTTGTTAAACAATCATATGTTGCCCAATTTTACATTGAGACACTTCTCGCAACTTCAAACCTCTTGGCGCCTCAAAAACAAGAACAATGGTAGAGCCCAGATTGAACTTGCCAACTTCATCGCCCATATTCAGTTTCAAGTCAACTGAACTGAAACAAATCAGAATCTTATTTGATTGCAAATAGAAAGAACCTAATCAGTATTTGGTGCTGAAATCATCAATGACAAAACGATTTTCAATTTCGGTTGATTTTATTACTTAAAATTATACCAGAAAATCTGTTTTATTAACCAGAAGAAATGATCGCAATGAAGAAAAACTTAGATTGAACTATAGAACAAACTCACTCGTTTTTTGGCATGTGGTCTTCGTATAACTTGTCATTTTTGGGTCTAATGTTGGTTCGAATTTGAGGAAAGTGATTCAAGTCAATCGATCCTACATTTGAAGCACCAACAGCGGTGAAAGCGAAAAAGCCGTGCTTCCACTCGCCAACCATAACACACCGTTCTTGTATACTCAGCACTGCACTTATGTTGTCATCACTCTTACCACCAGATAGTGTTCGGCTGAAGAACTTCAAAATGGACGGCCTGACAGATAGAAGCGAACCTACATTAAAGTTTCCGATACAATTTTATTATCATAAGGATAGCTAGTTGCTCTAAAAGTAGCAGAGAATGTTCCTACTTCAACGATTAATGAATAATGAAAAAAAACTCTTCTTTTTTGTTTAAAAAGGGCCATTGAATTACGTAAAAATCTGCCAAATGAGAGGAAATAAAAGCTAAATTAATAGACGGGGGTAACTTGGAGCTTCCAGTTACTTGCGATATATCACAAAAAGCACGGCAGCTGGTCAAAAAAGTACGAAGGCCACTGAATAGACAAAAAACGAAAAACACCGAAACACAATAGCCAAAGCTTAGTAAGTGTAGAAAAACAAATTTATCAAGCGGTAACAAAGCAGACATAACTTGGGCAGACTACCATGGTGAGCCAAGGCAATTTTGAGCTAAACGATCTCCATCAGAGCACAAATGAGGTCAAAGATTATTGAGGCAGCAATACAGAATTAACATCGGCCGAAATCATTTGTGCCATAAAACCTCAAAGCGAAAATAATAGGAAAAAACAAGCGAAAACTAGAAAGTTGAACATCAAGCGTTGGTTTCCGTTCAACAATGAAACAAAATGATTAGAACGGCTATTTAAACTGCCGCCTCAGAATGATTCAAGTGATTGTCTGTATCCGGAAAAAGTCTATATGCCGATTCACGAGCGGATTTAGGGGGGAACGCCCCCTTCCTCTCAGCGATTCAACCCCCTGCCGACCCAAGGATCCCCCTTTGTACTATTTTGAGCAGCAGCGAATTTAGGAGGGCGCCCCCAGCCCTCAGGGATTCGACCCCCTGCCGATCGAAAGGGTCCCCACTCTGTACTGCTTTGAGATATCCATTTTTGACTGACTGACCCTAAAGTTTTTCTAACGGCGCCTAGGGCGGCAAAACATTCTAATTTTGAGGATGGGGGAGCACGCGCCGAAAAAACGCGATTTGTTGGTCAAAATATTCCAATAAATGCCTAAATATGGTCTGTATAGTGATTTGAGAGAGCTCATAAAATGAATTTAGTCGTAAAAAAAAAAGAAAAAAGTCGACAAACTTTTCGATTTAGATCCGCCCCTGTGCCTATTTAATCAACTAGCTAATCGCAAAAGACAAGCGGAGCAGATTTAAATTGGTAGTTCAATCTCTCTTTATTTCGCTCGTAACTATTTCACTTAGTCTGAAGAACGCAAAAAAATCATACAACTTTTCTCGAAACTAAGACAACTATTTGAAGTTGTTGTTGTTGGGGTCTGAATCACGGCTCAACGGTCTACAACATGGTTGCACATCCACGCAAGACTCACAGCAAGCTTTCTTTGAGCTTGCCAAAATCGCTCGGAAAAAAGCACCCGAAAACCTACGCCGTAGTTCCTTCCCATTTCAAGAATTGCTTAGAACAATAAATACATAAATTGAAAACAAGGATAGCCGCTCACTTTGCAAATAGCACAGAATGTTACGACCATAGTCTTAAAAAAAACTTGTTTTTTTTTCAACTTTTTTTCTGTGGTGTGAGAAAAAGATCTGAACAAAAATCGAACTTCGGCATAATCAACAATCACAGTTAAATTGGCTAATTGGAAAACAGCATTAATGAAAAAGACTAAAACAAACACGAAAAAAATCATTAAAAAAATATTCCGAATTTTGCAATTTTTTTGAATTTTTGATTCCAAAAATGGAGCAAAAAACTAACTTTGCTGGAGTAAAATTATGTTTTCAAGGCTTAAACAAGCGACTGTAAGCCTTCACGCTGATTTGATTAGCTCTAAATTAGCCCGCAAATCAAAAACTTCAAGCCGGCTTTTTCTCGACATCAAGAAAAAATTTTCAAAATATTTCAATGTCGTTCAAATCACGGCTAAACTTTAATATGATATATAACTCGACCCATTCCGATGATTACTTATGGTACCTGATTTTGCGTGAAAAACAAAAAAAACTAAAACAACCAAATAGAGTTCCTCGGCATTTTGCAAATGGTTGGAACAAAAAGTGCCTTACCGCTAAAATGGCGAACAAAATTGACTTTCCAATCAACAGGCGAGTAAAATCTGTGACAATCTGAAGGGCTGAGATAAATTGCGCAAGCATATAAACAATTTCTATCGTTCTGACACAGTCTATTCTGTATTGATGACACCGATGTTGAGTTCTCTTTTACTGTCAAAGGAGGACCCAAAAACTCAGATAGGGAGAATGAGCAATCCTTGACTGTCATAAAATCTTCGGTTTTGGTAGCCCCTAAACCATCTATTTCCAATAACTGATATTTCAAGCCTTTTTACCACTTGCTAACAATTCTAAGATCTGCGAATATACCTGTATATCCCATAGAAGAGCCAACTGGTCTGAACTGAATAATTTCTCCATCACTGGGACACCAAACTTGACTGTCATGAGAGCTTTTTTGGAAGATCCTGGCGCCTGGTTTCAATTCTCTCGAGAAAAACTGGTTTAATGTTGAATACTTTTCCAGGTCACATTCCTTCAATTCTGACTCGTCTGCAGCAATAAGCCGAGAGAAAGATCCTACAATTGGAGTTCTCCACCTTGGAGGGATGTCAACTGACATCATTCGACCTAAATTGTGTCTCCCTCACTAAAACTGTCTGCATCAAAGGGATTGGTGAAAAACTATTAAACCATACCTACAGAATAGGAAACGACCTTCAGTGGAAGTTTTCGGTAGACATAAAGTAGTTGACTGTCGAACTTTTCAGGAACCAAATAGCAAACAGTTCCATATGAGCCGGATGCCGCAGCCACTGCCAGCAGGGATTTCCTCAGTAACGATCGAGGCATCGAATTGTCTGAAAACAAAATCGATGACAATTTCAAGTACAAATGTATGAAACAATCAAAATGTTCCAAGTAAAATAACTCGTAGCTGAAATGCATTAAAAACTAAATTAAAAATATTCACTCTCTCCACATACTGACTTATTAATTTTATCGTCCCTTTTCACAAGGATGTTCAATTGATACGGTAGAAGTTTGGTTACTGAGCGTCGATGTCTACGAGTATTATTGCGACTGATATCTGCTCCTGCTACCAAGGAGTGGCTGTCCCCAATAAAACAATCGCTAAAACATTTAGTTATATTAAAAAATGGTTGCCATACGAATAGCGAACATCGTGTGGACTATAAAGAATCATTTACCTGAACCAGTACTCGAATACAAAATCACAGGCCGAGATATGCTCTCGCTTCTCAAGTTTAGAGCGTACATACTGGTCCTCAAGAACGGCTGAGCTAATGAACTGATGTGCGTCGGAACGCACCACATCCATACACATGTCTCTCAAAACTGATTCTTCTAATTGCACTAATTTTTTATCAAAAGACACCTTGACGTATAAAGAATAATAAGATAATCTAATTGAAGTAAAAAACTGGGACTCTTTTTTGTTCATTAGTTTTTAGTCATCCTGAAAGGATCATTATTCGCAGTTCATTGGTAAAACATTGTCGGAAGCATGGAATCTAAAACTAGCGACACTAATTTTTCAGTCTGCAGTCTCGCGACCTTTAATTCCTTCTCGCCAGTTTTTAAAAAAGAGCACAGATGACGCGGAGCTGTACATCACTTGCGAAAAAATATTGATTGTTTGAAAATATCACAGAATGGTCAAACCATTGTAATCCTTGCTCAGATAATTAAAGAATAATTAAAGAATTAGACGGCCATAGTTAAAACTTTGTAGCAACTCGAACAATGATTCAGGCGGTCACATTCATTAACGAGAAAAATAGGTTATATATCACTCCCTCAAAGCCAAAGACTTCTTGAGACTTTAATTTTCTTCATGGTTGGAGTCAATCAATTGGGGTTCAAGGTCATCAGAAGTAGTAGAAACGGCAGTTTCTAAGCTACTTCCAAACCTTCGCCCACTCTCTTTTATTGTTTAGCAACCTCAAATAAAAGTTTCAAACAACCCAAACACTCTTTAACCACTGACAACCCAAAATGTTGAATAGTGGGTTTGTTTTTACGTGCCAGTCGATTGCATCTAGAAAGCAACACGATCTAAAGTCGTTTCCTCAGAGTAGTCAAAAGAACCAAGAAAACAACTACGAATAGTTACATTCGCGCGCAAAGTATATGTTGACGAGAAATGAAACCTAATCGTTTAAGGGGGGCCGAGCTTTAAGCAGATCATTCTTGTAGCATTTAAGTTGAAAATTGATTCTTTTAGAAGACACAACGCGTATTACAAATGACGCATATTTGATTGAGTCGTAAGAACACTCTCACTCTAAGGTCAAGCTTCGCTATTTAAGGCAATTAACCCTCGATTTGCCAACAAAACTGAGCTTCAGAAACAGAATAGCTCGCTCTTTGATGAAAAAGCTGTTTTTACGCCACCAGGAAAAGTTATCGACAATCTCACAGCCTTCCCCATCCGAAGAATACGGCTAGTAACGATTGTATCTGATTACTCGTTTCTTTCCGGGTGGCTTCTAGTTGTAAGTATTCGGAAATTACTTTTCAAAATTCTCAACTAGTTCACGATTGGCCTCTTTCCGCTTTCGTGATCTCTTTGCACCAATCATTTCATCTGTTAGACCCTGAGGTCCAAGCAGAGCAACACTCAGTAATTTTCCCAGCTATTATGGGTGTTTTTTGGCAGGGAAATACATTATATTTTGATTTCCATGGAAAACTTTAGGTAGCAAGGCAGGATGCATTCGAAGAACATCGGGATAATCCGAGAGTTCAATTTATTCAGTTTGAGGAATTCCTCCGAATTTCTCAACTCTTTCTGGTACGCAGCGTCGATGGCGCGTCTTTGCTTGTTCTTCGTGTCCTCATTTTTCAGCTTTGTTTCGCTGATTCGCAGAATTTTGTTTTCAAGGCTCAATGCAAAAAAAAATTTATTTTCGTAGATAAGCACGTCATGTCTCGACTTCCGAGAAGCAGATTTACTCGACGAGCTTTAGATTTTGAAGAACTGTTCTAGCCCAAAAATAACAAATTCGGCATTGCCTCGTTTTCATCTCTTCGCATGGCTGAGACTCCTTCATAATGCATTATGACAACCTGCTCCTCTTGATGCCCCTTACACTCGAGTTGTCTGCATTACCAGCAGGCAGAGGCTGCGTTCTCGTTTCTTCTGGTATGAAAAGGCCTAAATTCCGGTGTTTGTTCATTTCAGATGGTCTGCGCGCGCTCAGAATTTTGCATGGCACCATCACAGAATTGCACATAATTTTCACTTTTTCGTCTGGCTGCAGATCTATTCTGCTCTCATATTCAAAGGTTACAAACCAGTGATTCGAGTTTGACTTTTTTGCCAAACAACTTTTCCTGTTGCTAACAGTAATTTCATGGTACCGTTCTCTATCTCGTAAACTTTTTCCTTTATTTTTTTTGCCAATTCGCTTTCCGGGATCTCTTTGAGACATTGACACTGCATTTTCTTTGCTTCAAAACACCGCTCGAGCTTCAGATTTTCTTTTGTCTGTTCAACTTGCTAGGCAGATTTTTTTTTCTTTTCTTCTTTTTGTCTTAAGGGGTAATCAGAAGGTCAAAACCAAAAGTATCACAATAACCGAGGTTACAGTCATGAGTCCCTTCATCATGTATTCCAGTCAAAATCCTTGGAATTTTCTAGATATGGAAGTGATAATAATAAAAGAAGATGACAAGCGTTTAAGTCCTTTTCAATTAAAATCGATACGGGTTACGTTTCTTCAATAAGAACACGCAACTCGACACGAGATAATATAATATACAAGTGTTACAAGTAAAATATTTCGTCGAAAGTTATTTTGTCATTTATTGTTCCGAGTACGCAAGCGGCGTTTGCAATCTGTATTGCCAGGGAGATTCTCTGTTTTAAAAATCTGCCTGCTCTGGGTTCCTCAGTGCATATGCTTAGGTTCTTACAAAGCTTGCTCAAAAAACTTCTGTGCTGGGGCCGGCCACGCCCTGAATTTCAAAAGCTAGCGGTTGAAAACGATATCCATCATTTACAAGATCTTTATACTTGTCAATTTTTCGCTCTTCCGCTTCAGCGGCAGCCGTACCAGGGTTACAAACAGACCCGGCACTAATCCTACAAGGAGCTAAGGAGTCTACTACCGTTACATCCCACAAGAGCTGCTTACCATCAGCACATGGAACGAGCGTCAAAGCGTCTGGTCGCTTCTGATCGGTACTGTAGAGGTGCCGTGGTTCTAAAACAGACGGTATGTGAGTAGATGATAGACTCTCCTTTATAAGGGCATTCAGGTTTGAATGCCTAGAGGAACTCCTTGCACTTTTGAGGCAAGAAAGACCATGCCAACCATCCTCGGTAACGTCTTTTCCGCACACGCATTTATGCCGTTCGCATATTTTTGATCCTAATCGAAGTCCTATCGCAATTCTGAGTTGTTGGTTAGCCATTCTGCCAGATGGCACAGCGCAACCTTCCGGCGACACGAAATAAAACGAAAAAAGGTCTTATTAACGAAAAAGTATTGCGAATGAGGGTAGGAATATTCTAGAATTTTCATTTTCAAAATTTCGATCGGAAGGGGAATATTTCTGAGAAATACAAAAAGACGGCCATTTTGACGAAAAACGACGAAAAAGCAGAACAACGCCAAATATTGTGGAAAACGGTCGCACAAGAGACGAAAAACACAAAGCCTCTTATCGTGGCAACAAAGCACGATAAGACCCTTATCAGCGGATATTAGTGGAGAAGGAAGCTTCAGTGGGGAAGGAAGATACCACGGAACCCTCCCGTGCCACAAATTGGAAGAGATAAGAGCGTTAACTCAGGAAGATCACGGGAGCGGAGGCTCGGTCCCCCAGAGACTGTTTTATGTGAAGGGACTGTATAAAGCTGACTGTATAGCTACTTGGATGTCGTGAAACTTTAAATTAACACCGGTATAGTTTGATATTTTAGAATATGAGTAGCTAGAAAGAGGAAAGGGTCAATCCATCTCCAATGGATTTAATATAGAACTGTCACACAAAAACATGTTAAATTAGGTTATTCGATCCGTGTTTTTAATGACAATCACGTAGTCTGAGGAGCCGAGACTCAGCTATGTGGTTGTGTTCGCATGTAAACGAAAGCTGATCAAAAGTCGTTTGACTGATGGCCTAAAAATGGTAACTTTTTACTTAGCCCTAGACAGACCAGAAAATCAACTGGCAAGGTCGAGACGGTGAAAAACGAGTAGGATTAAGGTAATTGACGCCTGCCAGTCGTTAATAGGTACTTTTTCTACGCTCCGTCGCTGTGTAGTATTTGGGCGAATGTTATTTTTGGACGTTTTTATGGCGCTCCTGGGTGGGCCTGTCAAAGGCATAAGACCATCATGATCAGCAAGCGTTTCAGCGACGAACCCTCCGCTCCGGGCGTATGCCCAAGTTAGAGGCCTTAGTGCGTACCCTCCGTCCAGTACTATTTAGCTTTTTAACTTAGTTAACACCGAAATTTCCGGGGGCCGGAGGGTTAGGTGGGAGGTCATGAGCCCGCTTGTCCCGAGGTCCCAAGACCAAAAACAATTAAAGAGAAAGGGTAAAACCAAACAAAAATAGTGTATAACCAACAAAAAGCCAAAAACAAATTTATTTGAAAACAAAAAAGTACAAAAAACAGTAAAAAAATCCAAAAAAGACCAAAAACAGTAAAAAACGTAAAGTGACAGTTTATATGTTATTTCCGGACGAGATGTGATCTGACCTTCCTATTTGTTGTTGTTTCAGATTGATTTATATCGTTTCTGATAGAAAGATTGTGTGTTTTGGAGAAGGGTTGGATACCCTCCCTCGAGTGTAATTTGAGTGTTTAAGCACGTTAATGGTAATTTTGCCGGTGACCGGAGGGTAGAGTGGCAAGCTGACCAACGTGTTCCACACTCAACAGGGACATCAGGGACAACATCCGCAACGACTGTTGGGTATCGTTGAAGCAATTTTAGTATCGTTCGGGTACTATTTCATTAAAACTTAAGTGGTGGGGGGCACGATTGGCGCGGTCCGATTGTACCCTCCATCGATTACAAATTTCCGAATTAAGGGTCTTAATTCGGGTATTTTGGTGCAAAGGAGGGTATAGTACTATTCATTAACGACTACTAATAGGTTATTGTCCTTACTATATATTACTTATCTCCTATTTAGACCCAAGAAACACCAAAATTTCGTCGAAAATTATCGATTTTTGGTAAACTATAGACCCCCAAATTTTTGGATAATCGAGCTTTTCCGAACAACAAAAAGCTTCTACATAGGGAGTAGCTACGTAGTTCGATCCCCCTAACTAAGGAAACCGCGTGAACGAAGACTCAGTAAAAGTTGGAAAAAACCAAAATTTTTCGATCAAAATTTCGATAATTTTCTAAATTTTGTCAATCTGTTTTGGGGATCGAGTTTTTGAGTTTTTAGAGTTAGAGCAATAAAATTTTTTTTGAGTTAGGAGCGTGCTAGCATAACGTGCTCGGCTGCCAGAAAAATTCTTGAGTAACCCTCTGATTAGCTCCGTAGATAGAGCTAACGACTTAAGGATTGGAAAAGGAAGGAATCGGAGGGTCCAAATTTGATAGTTATTGGCCAAATTTTTGTGTCCAAACCAATTTTGATCCGGTTTTTTGCACTATTCCAGTGCCATACAGGGCTACTACGCTCGTTTCAATTATTTTTAGGCACTTTCGATAGGAATTGCGGAAAAAGTCTCTCAGAACCTATATAGGTGGTGAAAAAAGGCCATTTGGACAAACATGTTTTTGGTAATTTCTCAAAGACTAGCCAACCGGTCGGGATAACTTTGGTACCATAAGTCGACGTTTTGGACCACTTTTTCGGACCACAACCGTTTTTGGGTTGATAATCCTGGAAAAGAAAAATTTTTCAGAATTTGTTGGTTCGGAGGGTCCAAATCGTAGGTAACCCTCCGAGCGGCAGAAAATATTATCAAAACACCTTTTTATCCAACTGGGAAGGTTGACCGTGTCAGCCAACCTAGTTTTAAGTCAGGTGGACCGCTTTTGGAAACTTTTTCGCGGTAACATAACCTTTTTTCTTGATTTTTGGGGAACCCTCCGAAGTAACCCTCCGGAGTCAGCTAAACCCCTTAGCAACCCTCCTTTGTGGAAAATTTCCACGAGATCATCCAAAGAAGTTAAAACAGCTCCCCCTAGAGAATTTAGCTTGTTTTTACGCTTTCTAAAGTTAATTGAAGGCCCTTCTAAGTGAAGCTCAGAAATTTGAGAATTTTGGAGGTACCCTCCGAAGCAACCCTCCGGAGCATATTAAGCATCTTATTGACCCTACTTAGTAAATTTAAGGGGACCCTCCGAAGTAACTTGGGTGATTAAGGTACCCTCCGAAGTAGGCTAAGTGTTTTAGCAAC